TTTTTTATATAATTGATTAATAGTGATTTTTTGTTATAACAGCTATATATCGATCTTTATCACAATCGATATAACCCAACGGGAGGATTATTATTGATATATATCCGCATAGATATTAATCGATATATATCAGCCTATATTTTTTGCTGATATTACAGAAGCTATATTATCATCTTGAGGGTCTTTACCAAAATACAAAAGGACTATGAAATGCATGTAAGAAAGCTGGTTATACTTTTTCATTTACTAATATAAAAAAATGGCTTGATGGTTAAGCAATGTATCAAATCTTTCGACCTTCACCAAAACAAATACCTTATGCTAGTTACTTTAAAATCACTAAGCCAAATACCGTATATCAGTATGATTTAATTGAAATACTATATGACATGAATACAGATTCACTAGATGGTAACCCAATATTTTACTATATATTATTAGTTATAGATTGTGCGACTAGATATAAAGATTTTGTTTTTTTAACGTCAAAAAGCAGTGAAGAAGTTGCGGAAGCATTTAAGAGTAAATATAATAATCCTGACAACCCCCTTAATTGGCCTCGACTATTGCAATGTAATGAAGGTCGTGAGTTCATGGGAAGCGTGACATTGATAATGGATGAACATAATGTTAATATCCAAAGAATTAAGGCACGTTTTAGACATACAAGCATGGCAATAGTCGATCGTTATGCTGGATTATTCGAATTAAGGGTTTTTAAAAACCAGTATGTGATAGAGTTTCTCCTACCTACTGGCGAACGCTGTAGAGAATGTGAAAGGTTTGCATGAAAGATTGTTGACAATATGAATAGCACTCCAACCCGACTAATTGGAATGAGTCCTAATGATGCCATGAAACTTGAGCAGATATATTCCAAGCTATCGGTAAAATATAATCGTCCAATAGATATTGATGAACCACAACTACCAAAGAATACTACTGTTCGATTTTTGCTTGCTCCTGGAGAGTGAAAAAATGATCCTTTTGAGCGACGTAGGATAACAGACCCAATATGGTCACCTAGTCTTCATAAGATTCGAAGAATTGTTGTTAGAAAGAATCTCCTGATGCTTGTTTTATATTATTTAGATAATTCAGGACCTCAACGTCTCTTTGTGAGAGAACAATTAATGTATATTAAGGAAGAGCCTATGCTTCCTCCTAGATGGTTCTTATCAGAAGAAAACTGAATGCATGCAAGGCACTTTTTATAAAAGTTTCTAAATCAATGGTGCAATAGGGAATTGTGATAAGGATTACTCCTTCTCTATAACATAGAGCCCTCTTTTTTCAGTCACGCCAAATTTGTGCATCTAGATTTATCTGTCCTTGCGGATAAAAAAAAGGCATGATTTGGTAATGTTGATTACCACTATATTCGAAGGCCAAACCTAACTCTTCATTGTATCCATCCAGATATAACCCTTCCAAGAACTTAGGTTTTCGGAGTGGGAATTTTTTATGCAATAAATTTTCAAATATATATCAGCATATTCTTTCCGGTACATTAGGTCAAATATTACACCATCGGTAATTCTGTTTCATATTTTTATATGATGCCTCCCATTGATGACCCTTTTTACATGCCCATAAATATATATTAGAATTAGTATTAACTTTCATTAAGCATCTTCCTTCCCGCCTTTGGGTATATGCTAAGACTTTAGTATCAATTCTATTATAATTTTGCATTTTATTCACTAATCTTTTTTTTTTAAATATAAATAAGAAAAAAAGGTACTGTCTCGCATCGATGGATCAGAAGACCAGGCCAGAAGAGGTCACCTCATGACCAGATCGAATATAGAAATTAAGTTAGCTAGTATTATTGTACAAGAAAAAATAAATAAATAATATTATTGTAAGTCTTCTTAAATCTTCACAAGAAATTTTATATTCATCTAAGGAAGGGTATTTGGGATTCATGGGATCAGGTTTTTGCCTCGCGTCGATATCCAGAACTAGGCGAAGAGGCAAACTCTCATCAATATATTCATGAGCATCGGGTATCCTATAAACTTCGGATGGATGATCAACAACTGTAAAACCCTTTTCTAATACTCAGATTATATATTTTGAATAAATCTTATTGGGGTGATAAGTATCTAGAAGAGCGACAACATCTTTACTATTAGACAAATATTGAAAATACATATGATCATTGTAACCAGGCTCAAAATCGAGGTCCGCTAAACCAGAGAAGAGCCTAGTTGCTTCGTTTATTTCACTGGAATCAGGCTCAGATTTTTTTTGCACAAGAAGCATGGTATTTACAAGAAGTCAATATAAAAATATATAAAAACTTGCAAAGTTTAAAATAAAAATTTTATATAATTTTGGACGAATATGCTTGCTGGCAAAATGCTGGGTTAGAGGTAGTATCCAAAGTAATCAATGTGATATTAATCGATGCAGTAATATTCTAAAGTATTCCAGAGTAACAACTATATGAGAAAGAGTTCTAAGAATGTGAGAATGTAAAATAAGATATATATTCGGTAGTATAGCAAAATAGAATTATATATAGGAAAGAAATAAGAAAATATGCTTTGCTATACTACCGGCAATAGTCAGAAAAGAGGTCGGAAAGGCAAAAAAGCTCAGGAGAATATAAGAAAAAATAGCTCCAAAGTATTCTGAAGTAGCAATGAGAGTTCAACTCAGTGAGGTCACGGGTGATATACCAAGGTAAAATTATAGGACATATGAGAAGTACCAAGGCAGGTGCAGGTACAAGTATACTTACTAGCTCAGGTAAAGGAAGCACAGAAGGGTTCGCAAGATATTGCATCTAAAGAGACTATGCAGGTCAGAATAATTTGGCAACCAAGCTGGCATAAGAGTGAACAGAAACTGGCGAACTAATAAAATCTCTCTAGTTCCTCTACTAGTTACCTGCTAGTTTTCTTCTAGCTTTATGACACTGACACGGCACTATCATAGTGCCAAGCTGGAACCTAAAATCATGTACCCAAATATCGGCCAGAATTATAGCATAGTGTTAGCTAAAATTAAACGAAATTTCACCACGAATTTATTGTGCTACTAGTAGCCTTTTTTATACTATTTCGGGCAACCAAGATAGCCTCCAAACTAGCACTTAAGGCTTCACAAATAAGATAATCAAGACAACACCCAAACAGATAACCAAGGCTTCATCAAGATAACCAATATGGCACCCAAACAGGCACAGGGTATGAAGGTAACCTCAACACCAAGAAGGTAACCAAGTCGACCCCAAACCAACCTGCAAGCCTGATATTAAAAACCAACCAACTCGACTTCCAAACCAACACACAAGATCAATATCAAAAACTAACCAACTCAAACTCTAAAAAACCACAAAGCATCAAAAACATATAAATAGGTAGCAGTATAATTATAAGCAAGTAGCAGTATAATTATAAGCAGGTAGCAGTATAATCATAAGCAGGTAGCAGTATAATATAAGTAGAGCAGTCTTATAAGACTGCTCTACTACTGCTATTAAGAGGAAGGATTATTTAGCATCCACAAAAAATATCTCCCAACTGTGTCTTATTATATAGATATAGAAAAATCAATTTTTTTTTTTTTTGGTGTTAAGGTGATCTCTTGGTCAGGTCTTTTTTTTATTCAGTTACTGATTAACTTTTTACCATACGCTAAGCCCCTTCTCGGCGCTCGTATAGTATACATATTTTTGGAGGATACATACTAGCCACACGTACAACTTTTGATTGCCTATTTAAGTAGTTCACTTATTACTAAGTTCTACACTAGATGTCATATCTATAATCCAACTAGAGGGTTATCTATTTAAATCCTCTGCACTATATGTAAGTCAACCTATATATAACCAAATTTTTAGAATATATTCCTTAAGAATCCAGACTTAGGACTTTAAAGTAGGCTCAACTAGCAAACCCTTTGTTCTTGAGGTAAACCTGCTAGAGCTTTCCATGCCTACAATCTGGCTAGCCTAGGCTTCAGTAACTTATATCTGAGTCTGAGAACAAGGATTTGTGAGCCGAAGCCGCTACCATTACCTACTTTCGCCCTTATAAAGTTCGCTCAAACCCCAGTACACATATTACAAACTGTCTACAGTATCTCCAGCTATTCCAAACTACCAATCCAGATGGCCCGGAAGGGCTGTGACCTGCCCCTGGTCCCCATAGTTAGGTTTTTTTCTTCCGGTTACTCCCCGGTGACCTGGTTGGTGGAGTACTTTGCCAAACACTCAGTTCTGTTTAGTTTTTGCCAGTTCTTCTGATGATAATCCTTTATGTAGTACCATTGAAGATCTGTGCTACTTTTCTATTTGGGACTTTCCAAGCGAGCGCTATATCGCTATATCAGCCCTGTAGCTTTTTGTGATCCAAAGATTATTTGTGTAACTCATATGTGATACAAAAGTCCCGAGATCTCCCAGTTCCGATGAATTGGTACGATTATAGTTACAGGATCTTGAGTTTTCACAGTCACGACGATACTTGTCAAATCCGTTTTTCAAAATTCAATTTTCATCTTCAGTGGGAATTGAACTTGTACTCAACCGCTTGGGGATACGACAACTTCACCACTTCACTAAGTCACCACACCCTTATATAGAAAAATTAATAATTGACATCTAATTCTATATCAAATATAATTCAGAACCAGGTATATATATATATTTTATATAATCTTTGGAAAAAATTAAAGATCATGCACATGATAGTATCACGGGTATATCATCTCGGTATCGATAAAGTTTAGTTTTTGTTAGTTTAGGGTTAGGGTGAGCACCTAGGTTAGGGTTAGAGTTTGGAGTATATAATAAAATCATTCAAGGAAAACTTTTTGTTAGAGCACGGAAGGTGGTTTCCTATGCAGATTTTGAGTAATAAGCAATTTTTGTTAGTTTTTTGATAAAACGAACATTTGTTTTGAATTTTCTGATCATGTTACGTTATATGAGATCCTGAAATCTAATTGGTTTGGTGATGCATAAGCTGTTGTCACTTATGTGACAAATAACTTTACTCTAATCTTTAATACACAACACTTATATTACATATTGTGATAGTCTTATACATATATGTTTTTATTTCTATCTTAAGAAATTGTACAAAAAAAATTATATAATTAGTTCATATTTTATTATTAACAAGAATAATTCTAAATTTTAATTAGGAAACTATCTTCTGCTGCCTAATTAAAAATATTCTTCAGACCATGAGTCAATAGTGTAGTAGTTAGTGCTTTCAGATCACAATCACAAGATCATGAATTTGAATTCAACTAGATAATAAATAGCTCTGCTAGAACCATAATTGGATAAAATCTTTGAAAGATTTTTCATTAAAAAAAAAGAACAAGATTCATACAAGTTGCAGTCTATCAACATAGTCATGAGGTCAAGAATAACTAGATAAGACATAATCCATTAACAAATGATGCTAATATTAAGAAAATTTAACTTAAGGATTATGTATTTACTAATTTCTTCTCAAAGTTTCTATCGGCTATCTGTAGATCGTATTTCTAATTGGATGAAATTAATGATCTCTATAATATAACACTATTGATTGATATAAATAACACCTTCAACATGATAACTAATAGTAATAGTTAATATAATGAATCTTGTCAAATCTTGCTTAATAAACTGAAAAAACAAACAAACAAAGTAGCTATATTATTTTCTCAAATTAATTGTAAAACACAGTAAATTACTATTTAATAACTCGCAAAAAATTTTTACAAAGACCACTAGTTCACTATAGTAAAGTTGATTTATAAATATTTTAGCATGAATATTATCTAAACTTTCATATTATAAAGAGATTGAGATTAGATAAGTATATTCAGAAATAGCCAAAAAGCTTGAATAAAAAATTCTAGCAATGTGTTTAATAAATTAGAAGTGATAAATATGGTAAATATATAATATAACTGTATGTTAAAACATGTATAATGACAATATTTTTTGCCAGGTTTTGGTTCTAAGATTAGAAAATTGCTAAGAGATGGAACAAAAATCAGTTGATTTTTTAGAGGGAGGGGTAAAAAATTTAAAATTATATATAAAAACCTGATCAAGATATATAGTAAGAGGGGGAAGAGGAAGTAAGCCTCTGATAAAAAAAAATCAGGTGATAAATGATACTGCCCTAACTAAAAATTAAAAAATTTGGTAGTGCATTTCTTAATTTGATTAGTGACTTCTTTAGATAAGTATCATAATTTGACTAATTATAATTAAAGTAGTGATACAAAAGAAGTATAATATTCTATATTTTTATTAACTTATTTGTTTAAAAATACAAGCACTAATATATAATTTTTATTAAAAGAATAAAAATATTACATGTAAAATTTAATATTTATATTGTACGATTAAGATTAATACATCTTTTGTAATACTAATTTAATTTACAATTCTCTGATAATTTATTTATAGATTATCAGTACTGTCAACCTCGTTGTGTTCATTATAGTAGTTTCTCATCTACAAAAAATATAATAAACCCTAATAGTTGCAGTAGTATAATATCTGGTAAGTTGCTTGGTGCATGCCTTTTTTTGTTCTGGTGTCATATTTTCTAAAATGTTGCCCAAATAGTAGGCATATCATAAATTGTGGCTTTTGATTTTCAGTTTTTAGATTGAAGAAAAGATTGGTAGATAATTGCAACTTGGGCTTGATAATCTTGTAATGTATTATAAAAAATACTGATAGAATTACTAGTAATAATACTACCATTGTGACCTAATAATTTGGCTATAACTATATTATAAAAGCTTGTCATAATGTGTAAAATTAATGATATTATTTCTGCTAATATAAGGTTTGTGAGTTTTAAGTAGATAAATTTTTTTAAAAAAAAGAAAAAAACAAGAAAAAAGAAGAAAACTAAGAAATAAGATAGAACTAAAAATAAACAGTAATGAAAAGATAGAGAAGAATTTTTAATTTTAATATATTGTCTTTGTAAGGATTTTCTTTTCATTGTAGAAAAATTAAATTAAATTTTAATAAAGTTAGAGACATGGTCTTACCATTAATATTTAAAAAAAAAAAAGAATATATTATTAGAGAAGAATTTGTTCATTATAAAGAATATATTATTAGGAAAGAATACATTGTTAGGAAGAGTATTATAAAAATAAAAAGATCTAAACAAAGAGTTAGATTAATAAGCATTTAATAATAATTTATTTATTAGCTAGTTTCTTTTTTTGTTTAGTTAAAATATCTGTGAATAAATATATTAGTTTAAATTTTTTTAATAATTAAT